ATGAAGGATTATTATAACAGCAGCTCTGAGGTTAGTCAAAAACAGGCCTGGAACTAAGCATTCCCCATGCATTGAGCTACCTGCCGAATACCTGCCGTGCCAGAACTCTTGAGCATTATCCAACGCACTGAGCTACCTGCAGAATACCTGCCATGACAGAACTCTGCTGAACAATTGATTAACAGTAATTCAATTCAACGAAGGCAAACAGAGGTAGAGAGGAGAATACCAAAAAGGTCAGCTGACCCCTGGCATTACAGTTTCTCGGCATGCACACAAGTGGATTCCTCAACTAAAAACCCTCCACTGGCTCAATGGGCTTCACTCTCCACAACAAAGAGGCTCTTTGATAGGCAGTCACTGTCGGCCTGACCCGGCCCCAGCAGCGCGCATCACGGAGAGCGGGGCCCGGGGTGTCACATGGCAGGCGGCCGCCCCAGCACAAGGTGACTTCCCAGGAAAGTGGGCACTTTCGACGCAAGCCCGCGGGGGACGCCGTAACCCCTCCCCTCAAAATGTCAGACATTCCTCTAGAAAGCACGAGTCGTGCAGGGAGGAAAGTCAGCACACCGTCAGCCGGTCTCATCGCATGCTTATACTTCATTCTTAAATTAATTCTGAAGGAAGAAACATACTTTTCAATTCTCAGCCAGCCCAGTGAATCTGCTGGATTATATCTGGTTACAAACTGTGATCCTACAAAAGGTCAGTGTGGAAAATGCCAACGCGTGGGGGTGGGGTAGCTCTGCTGAGATCTTTGGGGGGGGGTCACTCCGGATCAGGTTGGGTCATGGAAATCCACATCAGCAAGGAGATCGAAAGGGCCACGACCCAAACCCCTCACACATCTGGCGGCACCTTTCTACAGGCCGCTGGGTTACAAACACCAGATGGAACCACTGGGGTAGTGGTACATGAGCACTGGAATACAGGGGTGTAACATCTGAGAGAGCAGCAGCAGAGCCGTGGGCTGGGGGGCAGGCTGCACGGCCACCAGGCAGAGCTACAGGGATTCCCAAAGAAGCTACAAGCCACCATCAGAAGCTGACAGTGACAGTCAATGGCAGGAACTGCAGTGGACAGAGCAGTTACCGAAAGGTTACCGGTTCAAGACTCAAAACACATTGAGCCAGATCTGTAACCTCTCCCCATACATTTCCCAGTCTGAAAGCAAACCCTCTCACCAGCATAAACATACACAAGTCAGCCGGCCTTTCTGGCACTCCGAGGCTGCTCCATACATCCCGAACACGACGGCGAGGACCGAACTGGACCAAACCGCTCACGCCATGTCCTCGAGGCACCTGACTTACTCCCACAGAATGTACACCATGATCTCGCTCCAAAATGACAAGTTAATTCTCCAAAGAATGCCCTTGATTTTTTAAGCCAAATTAAGCCAGATTTTTTTTTTATATATTACAGGGAACTAATAGTTGGAGCAAAGGAAAACTGTACATTCTGAAAGAGGACCAACGTGGGGGTGGCGTCCCTGGCTGCAGTGAATTATATTAAAAAATAAAAAAATAAAAAACAGTTATGTATAGCTTATAACAAAATCTTAGCACGGTAGTACTATCAGCGTGATACAACCATAGGCAAAGTAACAAGGTGGGACTGAGTAAAACATCTAAATTCATCACAAAGCCACTACTAAACATCGCAGTGAAGTCACATGGCCAACAGATGCAGAACTGTCCGCGATGACTGAAAAACCTACGGCTTGAACGGGACTCGAGGGCAACGACACAGGCATGCGGAGAAAACGTTTGACGTTGTCTTTTGCACTGAAACCTATTTATTCACAAGAAATGGACACTGATCATGGATACATGGCACAATCATAATATATACATTCCCCAAGGAGAACAGTGCGTAACACAAACGGTAAGTGGACAACTACAGTGACGGACATCTTTAAAACGACAAGGCGGGGGGGCTGTATCTCAAGCGACTCGAGTGAGAAACACTGACAGCTTCATAGTCAAAAAGGGTGTTTTAAAGAAACACTGCTATTACCAACAAAAATATATATTTAAAATACTAGTGTTCTCATTGTATATCTGAAACGTACAACATATCAAGGTCAGGTAGGAGTCGCAAAGCGGAGAAACCCTGACAATTCTACCACAGTGCAAGGCTAAATGCCCTAATTTGGATGCCTCACTGATGTCGTTTCATAACCTATAAACATGGCGTCGGTAAACACAATGTTGATCTCCGCAACCTCTCCAATCACCCACCATATATATATATATTTTATTTTTTTTTCTTAAGAAAAAACCTACGTTTTGCTCCAAGTTACAGTGCCTTCAATGCTAACTGCACATTATGATTTACAGAAGTTATTCAGCTAGTTTTTCTTAAGTAGTAAGAAATGTGAATAAAATGGACATTATTCGGCTTGGGGGGGGGGGGGGGACAGCTTCGTAGCAGGACTGCCGGGCCTTCAGCGAGTCGAGGGTCAAAGGTCATAGGTCAGCAGGAACTTCCTCAGTGCCCGGTCAAGTAGTCCTGCGTGGAGTCCGAGGCGAAGGAATCGGCGTCCTCGTTGTCGGAGTCCTCGCTGCTGTCGTCGGCCGCCGGCTCGCCGGTCAGCGCGATGCGTGCATAGTCATCGGTGTCTATGGACTTGCAGAAGTGTATGGCGTACTTCAGCTTTTCCTCCAGCACCTGCCTGCAGGAATATCTGGGCAGTTTCAGCAGGAAGAAGCAGGTGTAGGATTCCGGCAGGAAGTGATCAGGCGGGTTGTATTTGTCCAGCACCTGCGGGGTCCAAACGCAACCATGGGAGAGAGAGATCGGGGTTAACTGCGGATTAAAATGGCAGCTGAGGACCACACGTGGAGTCAGGGCTTAACAGGACTTATAGAGCAATTTAAAGAAGTGGGCCTCATCCTCGGTCAAGTGTATGGCCAGTGATATCATTACCAGGTAAGGAAGGCTAAGGCACTGCCTCACTGTATATCCCCTTATCCCATCAGGAATGCGATTATCTGGAGCCTATGGACTGGGGCAGCAAGCAGGAGTCACATAAGCATGGAGCGGACCCACAGACCCCGAACACGCGGCAGTGATAGCGCCACCTGTTGAGTGAAGGTGGCAATGCAGCAGGAAGGTCGCGGATGTTTCCCAGACTAATCAGGTTCGATCGCTTTTGGGGGAAGAGTAGGAAGCGCAGCTCCGAGTCATTAAGAGACACACCCACCTGAACCACAAAGTCCCGCCCACGGAAGTCCGCAATGGTCCTGGGCAGTCGGGTCCGGCCCCAAACGAAGCGCAGAAAGAGGGAGCGTTCCGTGTTGGAGAAGGACTCCATCACCTCCCAGAACCACTGGATGAGGGGCACGGTGGGCTCCACGCCCTTGTAGGTGGCCACCGACTTGAGGAGGTGCAGCGGGATGTCTGGGCTGCCGCAGACCTGGGAACGGCCGGGGGGCAGGTTCACAGGAAGGGGGTGGAGCCAGAATGAAAAGGAAACCATCAGAAAGGATAGGGCGGGGGCAGGAGAGCTGGGTGAAATTCTCCATACAGGCATCCTAAAAGCACACAAACAATATCGAAGGGAGGAAGTTGCTCACCATGGTTTCCAGCTCGTAGCCCGTGAAAAGGGACAGCAGCGGCACCGGTACCACACGGGCCATGCCCTCCCGCACGGCCGACACCTGCTCGTCAAACTCATGGAGCCTGTGAGGGGGCGGGGCATGTGAGGGACGCCCGCCTTTTAGCCACGCCTCTTGACCCCACCCTCAGCTTCCCCACTAACACACCGTGCAGCGTAGCCCCAAAGCCCACCCCC